CCCCCGGGGCAGTAATTTGCACTTGACTCTGTTGAATTTCATGAGGTTCCTGTCCACCCTTTTGTCTGGTCTGTAAAGGTCCCTCTCAATGGCAGCCAAACATCTGTTGTGCAATCCCCCTTTTGTGTGTCATCAGCAAAGTTGCCGTGGTGCATTCTGTCTCATTGTCTGGGTCATTAATGAAGATGTGGAAAAGTGGTGGCCCTAATATTAGCCCCTAAGGCTACTCCTTTAGTGCTAGGCCTTGAGCTGGATTTTTTGTCATTGGTTACAACTCTTCAAACCCAGTAGTTCTACCAGTTCAAGGGAACTTTACTGTCCATTTATCTAACCTGTACCTCATCAGTCTTGTCTATTGCATTTTATGGGACACTATGTCAAGAGTCTTACTGCAGTCAAAAAGAACATCCGGTGCTCACCCCTTATCCACTAAGATAGGAATTCCCTCAGAGAAGGCTGCCAGGCCAGCTGGCTAGAGCATGATGCTAATAACATCAAGGTTGTGGGTTCGGTTCCTGTATGAGCCATTTACTTAAAAGTTGTACTTGATGATCATTGTGGTCCCTTTTCAACTCAGAATATTCTGTAAATACTTACTTCCACTTATGACTCCCAGTGATCATCTTCTCCTCTACATGGTCTATCACCTTCCCAGGGACTAAGATGTAGTTGACTGCTCTACGTTCCCAGAACCTTGTTTTAGGCCTTTAGGCCTTCCTAAAGAACCTGTATCCATGCATGGCAGTGCTTCAGTCATGTAAGTTGTCCCACCTTGTCTCTGTTATCCCAGTGAGTCCAGCAGGTGCAAACAGATCTCTCATTGCCCCTGTTGTCTTCCATGAAGATGTGCTATGTCCATTTGAACAGCAGCTTCAGATATGCACCCAGTTGAGCTAATTTCCCGGAGCGTGGAAAATCACACTGTAAAAGGCCAGATTCTACAAAGGAGACAGAGGAGTCTTGGGTTTTTGAAAGACACAGCCTCCTTTATCCTAAACCCCTGACTGCATGTTGGCCCCCTCCTCCTTTCCCCATTGGCTGAGGTTCTAGGAAGATACAGCCTTCCTGAATCACCTACTACATTCCCCCTGTAAGATGTATCCCCATCACCCCCATTATGCATTGCGTGGCAGTGAAAATTAGCTTTAAACCCACCCTGGCGGGAGAAGTTAATATTCCTCAGTCTAGTAAGCCTGCATATTTTTCCCTGAAGTTCAGCATGCACTTGGTTCTGCAACAAACTAGAGTTGCTTGATATTCATGAAGACCCCCACACCCAGTTCTCCAGAACTTGACTGGTTCTTTCAGAATGAGTTGTCCGTGAAGACATTATCACCCATTTCTCCTCTCACCAGGAAGACTCTTATGAACCTCCTTCATACTGTCTGCACTCCCATTATTTATGTGCATAAAGTGAACATCCTCCCTGAACATTCTGCTGCTCATCACGAGGTCTTTTCTGTCTGTATCTACCTGTCTGCTTTTGCCTGCCAGTTCAGGCTGCAGCTCCCTCACTTGCCATTTCACTGGCATCTTTGATCCCTTCTGTTCCTAATTTAAAACTCTCCTCATTGATTTGGCTCATCTGTTATCAAAGCACTTATTTATGTGTATTTGTTTGTATTGCACATTGGTACTGAATAGTGCCTGGTAAAGGTTAGCATAATTTCAATATTGGTCTGTAAAAGTGAAATAAAAGAAGGCTCCCCCACTGATTTACAACGTAAAAATAGGGCCTCATTCACTAAAGACAAAAGCAAGTTAAAGTACAAGTATCAATAAATAAAGTTTGATTTCTAAAATGTATTGTAATGGAACTGTGACTGAATTTCCTTACACGTAAAAACTTTGAATTTAACATAGACAAACATGTTAATGTGTCTGACTGTGCTGTGGTTCTTGTGTGGTTGCAAGATTTAGTTTCCCCCTCCCACCACCTCCCCTTAAGGATATATCTGGAAGTCTGATAAAGTCAATAAAGAAGATTCCCATTGACCTTAATACACTTTGTGGGCAGACCATTAGAGAACACATAATACTGCATTCTCAGGTGACAGACACAGATAACTGCATTGATGTTTGCATACAAATTAAAAAGTAGCAATATAGCAGACTGGTCTTGAGGATTCAACATTATCCCATGTTTTTCCCTTCCACAACAAAATGAAAATTTGATTGGAGAACCTGTGCAAAATTAATATAATCTGTGTTTCAACTGCAGTGAAAAGATGTATTATTTTCTATTATATACATGCAGTCAGGGAAATTAAACAAGAGCTTGTTTGGAAGCCTGTTGTAGAGCTGTCAGAAAGCACTAATGTATCACTTGTCTGTAGTTCTGCTGCTATTCTTCTGAACTGAATTAATTTAGTACATATGCAATATGCTCTGCAGTTACACTTCCCTACATCAGGAGTCTTTAGTGTATCCCTACCTTTGTTAACTTTGGGGAACTACTTTACAATTCATTCAGAACAGCAGGACTTAGTATTGAGTCCTGGTAAGCATGGTTAGTGTGTCCTTTAGTGTTATCCTTTGTTGCTCTCTTAACAGGCTTTCTGAAATGGTGCTTTTTTACAAAAGAAAACTGTCTGACTGTTGTACCGCACATGTAGTTTAAATTCTTATATAATTATTCAGATGTATATGTATTGAATAATCATTCAGTCACAAACTCTAATTAGTGGCACAGGTTTTAAGAAAAACTTTTGTGAACTTCCCTTAAAATTGTTTATTTGTCATTCTGTTTTCCCTGGAAGAAGACAGTGAAGTTGGTATTGCTGCTTACCTTTTATACACTAATCTTTACCTGGATATCTCCAGAAGCATTAGAAAAATGCAATGGTAACACCTGTTCATGATAATTCCAGTCACAGAAATATTACATATGTGTTAGAGGATAAAAAGACAATTCTTTGAGGAAGTAAGGAGGAAAATTAGTTGGAGTGCTAAATATATATTTTGGTATCTCTGTGTAATATTAGTTTGAAATATGCTTGTGAATTAAAAGGGAAATAAGTAGAAAATACATAAGCAGGGATTAATAGAGTCATCTGTACTTTCAATATGTGCTGCAGAAAATATTCAAAGTTTTAATCACTGTTTATAGTAAACACAGTAAGTGTTACTGTGCTTTGATCTTAATTTAGAAAATCCATCAGCAGTACAGTGAAATTATTTAGACAGCTGATTATACTAGATCTATCCTATGGTTGCATTACAACACCATTCCTCTTACTCTCTTTATAGGGTTTTTATTATGTTATATGATATGCACCAAAGGTCTTGCTTACTTTGTTTATGGTTGTTGCAGTATGCCTTACCTGCAGACAAAAAGGAATTTATCAGCAAATATATTCATGTGTCTAGGAAGTAGATGCATGTCAGAAAAAAAGGTTGCTTCACACGTACTCTGCAAGTTCAGGAAAAAGTTTTATCTTTTTCTGATTGTTCTAGGTAAAAAACCCCAACAACTTATTTACAGTTGATGTATTCTGTGTATTTTACATTTTTACACTTACTGCTGAAGAATTAACTGAATGTTGATTAGAAAAAAATGAAGTAGTGAAAATTTATTTATTTTAGAGCAGTTAAAGCATTACAGGGAAATAGAAAGGCATTCCATTTTGAAAGTTAACTTTTTTAGATATTTCTCAAAAGTGTATAGTAAGTATTTTATATGTAACTTATAGTGTTTGTAAGGCAATTGACAAAAAAAATAAATGAAGATAGGAAGCTCAATATGTGCAATAAAATTATTTGCATACAATTTTTTAACAGAGGTCATTGTTCTTTTTCTTAATTTCTCTTTATTGCTTGTCTTGCACAGGAAGGAGTTAGAGGAGCTACAGAATCTTTACAGACAAAACATTGAAGATAGAACACAGCAGGCTGAGCTGATAAAGCAGCTAGAGTCTCTCAATGCTGATACACAAGAAGTACTGCAAGACCAAGAATATGCTCACACAGCTAAAACAACATATGAAAAAGTATGTTATTCTGCTTTATGCTCATAGGGTTCATTTTAATATCCATCTGTACAATATCAATGCACAGAGCAATCAAAGCTCTTTGTAGTGTTGCATTTTTTAGACCTCTGTTATTCTCTATTATTGCCAAAATATAATTGAGTATCTGAGTTTTTTGGCCTGATTGCGTACCAGCATACATGGCCCCTTGCATACATTGAATTGATCAGCCTTGAAAAATTTAGATTTTGTTGCATCTGAAGAAATGTAGGATTGAATTGCCAAGCATATGAATTTCTTTATCTGATTTGGTGTTAATTATGTTATTCTTCTTTCTCTTCTGTAGGACAGGAGCTTTCAGTTACTAAATTCTCCAAATTGATTTTCATAGTTCAGGGGAAAATATTCTTTTCACTGAAGTATTTGTGTGAATCACAAAGAATATTAGTGGTTTAAGACACAAAAACCTGCTGTATAAAAATTAACTGGAAAAATTGTTGCTATAATATCTTTTGAAATGGTTAACTAGTTCACAAAGTTGGAACAATATGTGTATTTGCAGAACAGTTTTATGTTATTGGTGAATGTAAGAGAAAATGTTCACTCGATCTGTCAAACACCACTACTCAGAACTTCTTTCAGGTTTATGAACTTATATATGTTTTTCAGTCTCTTAACAAATATAAGAAATATGTTTGCTTCCTTTTTAGAAAGATTAAGAAGGAAGAAGGCAAGGAAGAATAAACAAGGAAGTATAAACAACTTGCACATGCATTCTGCTATCTTGGAACTGCATTCTGAAGTTGTGTATTGCCAGTGCTTTTTCTCAAAAAATTTTTCTTCCCTTTGTCATCTTACTTAGAGTGTGCAGGTTGTAATAAAACTGTGGAGCTAGACCTGAGTCAAACCAGAATCGGTACTGGGTTCCAAAGGTGTGTTTGTTTAGTGTTCATAGCTTGTAGTGCACAGCACTTGTCTACTCGACACTGTACTATGTGATGTGGTTTGCTAAGGTAATTTGAAATTGTGTGAAATGACTGCATAAAGAACTGTTACATATAAAAAAGAGTGGAAAAAACCCCAAACACCCTAAAAACTCTGCGGTTTATTTGACTGCAGTGATGATACAGTGATGATGCAATGATGATATTAAAGAATTTCTGCATTGCGGTAGTAGCTCAGTCAAGCTACAGGTAGACCTTCTGTCAAAGTTGTTCAGAACATGTCCAAGGCAGGAGGAATTTATCTGTAGGGCAAGACAGAGTAAATTCTAGGATAAAAAAAAAAAGAGAATGGAGGTGTCAGGAGTTGCTAGTTTTTATTTTCCATTCTCTAGTCAGTGCTTCTGAAGGTGTTAAATGAATCCTTTGAGTCACTCAAAAGAAAAAAAAATAAAGAAAAGGGAAGACATGTCTTCACTGGTGTTGATAAAACCATATTATTCCAGAAAAGTTCTGCAGCAGTACAATATGAAAGAAAATAAAACTGGATTTTCATGACACTGTTTTAAAGCATAAAAAAACTTCTAATAAAGGTTACTTTACCTTGCACAGTGGAGATTTTGCCATTACTTCTTCAGTATGGGAAAGAGTTTGACATGTCCTGTGAAAAATAGTTGCTTAAGTAATACGTAAAATTGATGGTTATATTAATATAGCTATAGGGTCAAGGCACTTTTAATCTGGGCTTGGTTCAGTATTTAGGATTGCTTCAGAAAGCTGGTTCACAGTTCTTTGTCAGTCTAGGCAGGACTTAAAACTTCTGCCTATCTTATAACAAGAGTAGTGTGGTTTAGAAGGTAAGCCCTAATTTTTGATAGCTGCCAAATAGTCCCAGTTTACAAAAGACTCTAAAATTTGCTGGTTTGGAGATGTTGAATTCAATATTTTTTAACATGGAGGAGTAAGCTCTCTTAAACTAGCAAAAGCCAACTCATATCTGCTAAAAAATTACTTTTGTGGAACTGCTAAGTTGTCTTTTTGCAAAATATCAAACCTGAAGAAAGTATGGAAAAAAGAGAGAAAAACAGTGAAAAAAGGGGTAAGTGAAGTTCCTGAGTCACAGTGGAATAGAGCTAATGTTTGTGGCAAGCTGAGTTAAGAGAACTTCAGAAGGGGAAAGGAATTAATTTATTGCGGCAATCCTATTCTGTATTTCTGATCAGAGCTGTATAAAACAACCAATTGTAATTACGTCAAGTAATGTGGTTTTTTCAAATATGCAGTCCTACCGAAGTCACAGCAGGCTTTTGAAAAACTCAGCATCTATAGAAATAATATAAATGTCTATTTTTTTGCTTCAATGAGAGAGGCACAAACTATTGCAGACAAATCTGTGTTCTGTTTGTCTTCCCTTCATTAATAATATGCAGTCTGCAACAGCTAGATAAGGATGTGTCAGCTATTCCATAAATACAGTCACAAAGGAATATTTTCCTGCTTCTTCAAATGGCATTGAGCCTATCAGCGTGTACATCCTATGATACATTGTCCCTTGCAGCAAGATCAATGACCTCTCTGTTAGTGGTCAGATAGGCACCATGTGCTGTAGCTCAAGCAGTATGGTTGGGTCACATATTCAAAGTTCATGTTAACAGGGTGCCATTGAGAAAAACAGGTTTTTGTGCTGATGTTGATGTGTAGTATGAAACAAGAGACTGAAAAAGTATTTCTGATAAATCTGAGGTCATAAACTTGCTTTGAATTATGTGTAAATTTATTGAGGAGCTGTAGTGAGCGTGTAAAGATCTGTAACCTGTTTTATCAAGTTGGGTTTACTTCACGTACCTTTTTTCTCTAAGTACAAATATTAAGGATGCTGTGTTCTACAATAACTCCTTTACATTAGAGCTTTTATGGAAATAAATTGATGTCTATTTCATTTTGCAGCTGTAGTTCATATTCTCAAGGATAGAGAATATTTTTCTAAAATGTGTAGCATCTGCTTTAGTGGTCCCAAATGCTCTGGGGACTTCATTCCTATGCTGGATTTAATGAGACTCAATAGATTTGTCCTCATCAACAATTTCAAGGTGGAGAGATTTCAATCAATACTAGGGATAATAAGACAAGAAGAGATTCTGAAGTCCTTCACCAGTTTATCACAGTTTTCTGAAATTTACAATTTAAGGCCTTTGTTTTTATAATGCTTTACTTTCGCTTATCTGATGTGGCCTTTAGGATCCATGTTAATCATACTGATTAAAAGTTGTTCAGTGGAAGGCCTTTTTAGTGGAGTGGAAATAGCATTATCATTCAACAGGAAATTATCATTTATGTCTTGGAAATCAGCTCTCAGATAGAGAATACCATGAATAGTGGTAGCGTGCATGTCTGTGGATGAAGAAAAGCATTCTGTAGTAGTCTAATTTGACTATTTAGATACAGTAATTGGAAAGCACAGTAAGAGTTTCCAGTATGAGGCATCGAAAAAATCTACATCAAGTGCACCAGCAAGGAGATAAAAATAGGAGCATGACAGATATATTTTCAGATGTTATTTTGTACCTGCATTTGCCTTTGCTAGTCCTTCTCATGGTGTCTTTAAGAAGTAGTTTGCTTTCCTTCAAGCTCACAAAATTGTCATCAGAACATCAAGTTACTGTGTTTACCATAATATGGTTGTTTTACACTTCCAGTATTTTTTGTAACTGCAGCAACCTTTAAGCATGGTTAAAAATAAATGTGTTTATGTAAGCAGTATTAAATTCTGACAATAAATGCTAAACCCCTATATAGATCTGTAAATGCTAGTGGTAGTGCAGGTTCCTATTCAAATTAGAATGAAAAACCTGAGTCCTTTCACACATGATAAGGCAGAAGAGAAACTACATGTCCAGTCAAATATGCTGAAGCCCACATAAGTAATAAGTGTATTTTCGTTTTTATGTCTACATTGAGAAGGTTTTGAGGAACTCAGATCTTTAACAGATTCCCACACTTTACTTCAAGCTCAGATACTGTTCTCTATAGTTGGAAAATGTGTTAATTAAGGTAGTCTTTGTTTCTTGCATACCAAACACCAGTACACTTGGTCACATTCTAGCAAATAGATTTTGGTATTTGATGTGCCTTTAGGTTGAAGTTGAAGAAATCCTGCGTAAACTGAGTCTCTTAGGGTCATACTAAATTGTGCACTCACAGGCAATAGTTTTCATGCTTGAAGGACCCTGTACTGATATTCTTAGACCACAGCAGTTCCTGTGGGTAATGGTGTAGACTGATTTCTGCAGAATATTCAATTATTTGTGAGGGGAAAAGTGAATATAAATAAAATGAAACTAAATATCATGAATGTGCTATATATAGTCTGATAGTTTGTCTGGTCTGTCTCTTCACATTCGCCCTAGAGTTTCTTCAGCTGATTTCTGCCCATGTTCTTTTCAAATTCTCATAAAAAGCGTGGGTTGTAACATGAATTTCTGCAATGGTGCTGTAATAATTTCCATTATAGTTTTGCTTTGTCTTAATTTAGAGTAACTTTTAAAAATTTATGTCATTACTATATGTTCGATATTACTGTATGTTTGGATTCAGAAACAGCTGGATGTGGCAATTAGTGCTATGATTTAGTTGACACGATGGCTTTAGTCAAAGGTTGAACTTGATGATCTTCAAGGTCATTTCCAGCCTTAGCGATTCTATGATTCTATTTGTTTGGGTCTCTGTAATATATTTTTTTAGGGTGTGGGCATTGTGATAAAACATTTAATGTAGGAGAATACTTGTTTTATACACAGTGCATGTAATGTGGTTACTGTTACATTTTTTAGATGGATCTACCTTAGTGTTAGTTCCTCACCAAAAACTTTGAAGAAAGTCTACCAAATGACCCTACTCTCTCATACTTCAGCTGATACCATAGAAAAGTTAATGACAGTATCCACTAAATACCTTTTGGATCATGGAACTGAAAAATGTACCCTGGCTGTTCGCTGGCATTTAGTGCATAGGAGCAATCTAAATCTACTTTAAAATAAACCCTGCACACTTGTTAAGTGTTGGTAATTTGTTTCAGCTCTTTCACTCTGCAGG